GTGCAAATGATTACCAAATTTACCCCAAATATCATTTTCGAAAGTTGGCAGTCCTCTGGATTCTATTTTTAAAATTGAAAATGCAGATACCAAACGAAGTTGTGACCAAAGACTGGTGGGTATTTCTAGAGGTAAGGTGGACTCTTTTGCATCATGGAAAATTGGTCCATTAAACCAGGCAAAGTGGTTAACTGTCTGATGTGTTTATGGACTCTGGTGTGGCACATTATTAGAAATGAGCAAATATGATTTAATTTTTTTTTCTTACTCAGTTTATTAAACAGGTTGTTAATTTTTTTAAAAAAAATGAAAATAACTGAGTTGAAAATAATTCACTAAGAAAAACTAGACGATCCTAAGGAAAGAAGAAGAAGGAAAGAAAGGAAAAAAATGAAGGAAATTCAATGATGATGACCCAATTGAGGGTGGAGATAGGAGTCAGAAAGAGAATTTAAAAAAAAATTTGGCCGATTTTTGAAAGTCATTTTGATAAAGAATGTCGTCAAATATAAGCCTACTTTTGCATGGAAAGACACCTTATCAATTTGGATAAGAGAAATTTTAAACAATGAAACAATTTTAATCAGAGAAAAAAAACTTTGGGTTGAGGGGAGTGACCGTGGAACGATATACAGACCTGTTAAGAATTGGACACCCACGTTAATAAAGTAGAGACATTTCAATGTAGATAATTAAAAATTTTTTAACTATCAGGTAAAAACAAAGAGGTAAAAAGAGGACAATTGCTTTTGGCTTTAAAGAAATGGAAAAAGATCCTTTCTAAAAAGACTAAAGTATTTGGCTGTTTGACAAAGTCCAGGTGAGAAAAGCCAAAGATTGTCATTTTGCGTTTGCAAAAAGGGCAAAATTGGATTTTGTTTTTTTAAACAAAACGATGTAAATCATGAGGGGAGAGGATGTTCGATCAATAACAATTGGTGAATATGAACCATCCGTGATGTTTGATCAATAACAATTGGTCAATCCAAAAGAAAAATAATAATAAAGAAATGCCGATCAGGATATATTGGTTGAAAAGCGGTCACCTGATATATATCCAAGAGAGATGGATATCCCGCCCCACCAAAAAATACTTTTTCTTCAAAACTTCAGAAGTAAAACTTAAAGAAAAAAATTAATAAAATAATGGAGAAGACAGAATTAATGCAGTTTTGGAATTATCGAAAAAAATTTTCATTTACCCCAGTTTGTTGCTTGGCGTCATAATAAGCAGGACCCCAGTTCAGTTGAAGTTGGAGTTGCAGATGGAGTGGAGTTGCAGCTGAACCGGGCAGGGAAAAAGAAAATCTCAGGCCCGGATTTTGCGGCAGAAGAACCCTCATTTGAAAGCCTGAAAAATTGGAAAATAAAAAATAAAGTCGATGAGAAGTTAAAGTTCAGCTCCGGACGGCAGTAGAAGAGACCACCTCAGAACAGAGAGTTGTTTGAAACAAGAAATCTTCCAAAGTTGAAACAGGAAAACTACCAGCCCAAGCAGTATGTTCGAAGAAGAAATTTTGTTTTCAAGTCTTTATGATCGATAAATTACAGTGTCGAACTGAACCACACTCCGACATACATACATGATTCTAGAAAAATAGGTAATTTTTACATTTTTCTATTTGTGATAAAGCTTGGTGCCATAGTCCAAAGCCTGTCGGGAAATGAGAACAATTTTGTTTTTATGTAACTTTAAGATATAAAAGGTTGTTACCCTTTTTTCATTTTGTTTGAATTTTATTTTTTCTTTGTTTTTGTTTGGTGTCCTCTGGATTTTATTTTTTATTTGTGGCCACCCCCTGTTTAACTCAACATGTATCGTCCATGCTGGTCCCGTAAAGATCCACAGGCAAAGACCGGAGATTAGTGACCAGGTATTGGTCGAGTTAAAAGGCATGATCATCTGACCAAAGGGTTGTGTTTATGTTGACTCTCACACTGGTGCATACCCATGAAATATTTCACACTGGTGCATACCCAAAATTTTCAGTTTGCAAATAAATTTTATTGTGGATGTGTATGCCATTTGCTGGTTCAAAAATAAAAATAAGTTCCACAATCAGCAAATGTATATTTTCAATATGATCCAAAGGATTAGAAAGCAACCATATGAAATCCAACAGATCACATTGAAAAATATACAATACAATGCTTTCACCTTACTGCCTGAAAATATCTTATATTCAATGGTCAAATCTGATGAACTAGAAGTGAGGGAAGAAGCTATAAAAAGAATTTTGGCCATTAGGTTAGTAAATATTTATTCATATAAAACTGACTAAATTTGTTATGCTGATTTATGGAATCATTTTAAGGATTTTATCTAATTTCACCATAAATATTAAAGCAATACGGAGTGCATTTTTAAAAAAAAATAACTCGATTTTCATATTCTTTCCAAAGTGGGGAGCAAACCAAGAAAAGATTAAAAAGAATCACAACTATCAATTTTAAAGCTATGCACTGGAGGCAGTTAAAAGATGTCATTAAGTGGAGTTTGTGAACCACCACTCACAAGAATTTTCTGAAAGTGAACTTTGGGAATAATTATTAAATGGTACGAAGCTTGACTTGCCAGATTTGCCCTCACATTCTCAAGGTGTGGAACGGGCAGTCAAGTTAACAACAGAAGCTTCCTAATCTGTCTATGGCTTTGAAGCAAGGCACCAGTTTATAGGAGAAAAAGCTTTGTGTCAGAAATTGAGACCATCAATTTCATCTGAGGGCTCTTATATGGAGTTATTTGACTCTATATTAAGCCCTATTAAACTGTTCTTTATTTTTCCATATTTATTTTTTCTATTTTGAATGAAAATACAACAATCAATTTTTTTAATGTGTTTAACTAATACTGCTTAATTCATGAGGTAAAAAACATTTCAAAGTCGTCAGTGATTATGGTGGAAGGGGGGGTGCAGATTTTCAATTTGAAGTTTACTTATAATTTCTACATTTTATTTCATTTTGATAAAATAACATTCCCTGATTTAAATAGTGAAATTTTTTTTTTTTTTTATATCTAGTCCAGATCTTGCAAAATCGTGGATTTTTCAGTGCATTTTTGTTTACAATCTTTGATGCCAAATGCTCAAAACAAAACGTTGAAGTGTCGGATCTAATTTTTTGTATCAGTACTTAATAGGTCAATACACAACTTTCAGTACATTATTCTTTTGATATTTTAAAAAAGTGAAAAATCAGCCTGCCCTAATACACACGTGTGTATGTACCTTTTGACTTTATACAGCTTTGTTGACAGGATCATGAAACTAGTAAATCCTCACCATCTTCCTCCAGATAACTGTAGCTTGAGAAAATTGGCTTAAGATCAATGAAAAAGAAAAAAAAAAAGCTGAGGTTAATATAAATCAACCAGTAAGTATTCGTATTTCAATTCTAAATGGAGATACATCGATAGAAGGCTTTGTTGATCTTGGAAGCAAAAGGTGGTAGTGTAAACAATAAGTGAAGTAATTCAACACCATCATCCCTTTAGAGCTCCAAAGCATTGTTGAGCAGAAGATAGAGATTGGCCTATACTTATGACATACTGACTCTGATGTAGCTTGTGAAAATTTCCAAACACCAGCATGTAGAAAAGAAATAAGTTGCCAGTCTCATTTGACAGGTACTGGATTGGAACTAATAAGGGAAAGGGGATCTAGATTTGTCAGGATTAAAACAAAGCCACATGAACTGACATTGGACCAAGGTTAGGGTTGACACAGCAGTTGGAAAAAACTTAATGTTGTTTATTTATTATTATTTTTTTTTTTTTTTTTGTATATTTGATTATTTTATTTAAACAAGATAAAACATTAAAAATTAATTTATTTATTTTTTTTTTACAATTTCTTTTAATAAAGAAATTTTTACAGAAATTTAACTCTCTTCTCCTACAAAGACATGCAGAAGAGTCAAACTGACCAGAGTGTGGCAAGACACTTTACAAGAGTTTCATAGATTGGACCAAAACAACTTAAGATAGTGACACTCGCCCTGCACAATCTAATAGAGCAATGTAATGTGTTGTACATTTTGGCAATCACTCTATTGTCAGTAAACGAGTGAAAATGTTGTCAATGTACAAGCAATCTGAAATTGTGTGGGGAAATGTCATGGATGACCATAACATTCAAGAGCTTCCCAAAAGAATCAATTACGGTCAAGTGCCAATATCTTAAATAGCTTCAGTTTAAGAAATTTAAAACTTTTTTTTTTTTCCATTTCTTTTTGGGTGGGTGGGTGGGGAGGTAGGTTAAGATTTAACAAGGAAAAAAAAAAATGCAAATTTGGTCAGTGTTTTCATGAATCCATACTACAAAATGAATTTTTTTTTTTTTATAATTTATTTCAAAGAAAGAAATTACCAGATAGCCCAAAATAAATGAAGCATTTTTTAATGATACTTCAGTTTAGTCAGATGATTAAATGAATAACTTTATGGTACTTGCACTTTGAAACTAGTTTTCTTTTACTGTCAAAAAAAAAAAATTTTTCCAATAACAGTGGTTATATTTTCTGTGTGAGAACTATTGTCTCCATGTAAGAATTAAATCTTTGTAAATGATGAAGAGTAAAAATAAAGTGGTTACTAATCAAGAGAAATAAAAAGCAAAGTGTTAGCCACCTTAGGGCCGGGCCGGGCCAGACCAGGCCCCACCCCACTGATAATAAAAATGACTAGTGTCACCTGTTTGTTCATTGACATAAAGTAATACCTAATATCATAACAATGGACACATTACACAAAGGGGAGAAATCAAGTTATATATCAATCACTTGTTTTATAGAATAGTTTATTAAATTTTTATCTCTGATAGTATCAAGGGTTTAACAGATTTACAAAAAAAAAAAAAAAAATGCATTATGGAAAACATTTTAACACTGACTGCAAATTTTTTTAATAAGTTGCTTAAATATATTCCCCACCTTTAGTGGGACAGGAGGGGGATTTACTCATGGGTGGTACCCTAAAGTATGGTTCGTAAAAAGAAAATTTAAGCATTTTCTTTTCCCTCTTCATGGTGTTCATCATCATCATCATGGTTTGGCTGCTTTTTCGACTGTTCCCAGAAATAATCAAAAGCATAGTCATTTTTATTATGCCTTTCATGAAGACTAATATTTTTTTTTTGCTCCTCATCAAAATGTTTGACCTGGAAGAGAAAATAATTTTGTAGATTATCAGATAAACAAGTACTAGAAATTAGTTTAACTGATTAATACAATGATAATTCCTTGATTAAAAATAAACATTCATATGCCAGAGTAAAAAAAAAAAATTAATTGGATTATTATAAAGTTTATAAAATGTCCATAAAAATAACCACATGGCAATGAAACATTTTTCAGAAAAAATATCAACTTAAAAAATTTTCTAAGAGTATATCCACAAATTTGAATTTTTATTGTACATTTTGTTAAAGAAACAGTATCTCAGCAACACTTAGGAAGACTGAAAAAAAAAAAGTTTCTACTTACAGCATCCAAAAATTCTGAACCTTCTCCAACAAAATTCAACTGGGTTATTTCATTAAATAACTGTTCGGGACTAGGAACATCGTTAACAGATGCTTTAAAAAACTGAAATCAAAATGAAGGTATAATTTGATTGAAATGGACAAGGTTTTATGGTGAGAAATATAAAGTTATGTCAGTAATTTTGTTGAATTAATATACAAATCCAGCATCTTTCATTCAACTGAAGACAGACACAGTTGGAATCAACACAAAATATTGATCATGCAATAATTTATTTTGCATAAGATTCTTTAAAAAAAAGTTTAGTTTTGTCCAAATATGTTAAGAGCAAAGAACAGTATTTTTTGATAATTTAATTATATTTTTAATTCTTTTAGTACATTCAAAATTTTGGTTAAAAATGTTTTTCTTGTATTAGCAGGGGAAACCAAATATTACTATATGAAATTTTAGCATCTTTTCTTGATGAAAAACATTAAATTAAAAATTCTTGCAAAAATCAAATAATTGACAAATTTTGAAACTTTCAGGACTTATTCACAAATGAATAAAATCTTTAGAAGTGTGTTTGTTGTTGTTTTTTTTTTTTTTAAATGTCTGTTACACCCCCTTTCACTTACTTAATTTCAAGAAATTTGGCAAGATTAAATTTTGATCCCCTATAATGTTTATGTTAGTTAAAAGTAGAACACCTTTAAGAATTTAAATGATCAATTTTTTTTTTGTAAAAATATAAATACCACTTAACAAAAATCTGTTTTGAACTGTAAAATGAAAAATGCTATAAAACTAAGACAATTAGAAAAGCTTTTAATTGCTTTTATGAACAAGATATATTAAGAACACTATTCATATTATCTTAATTTTTTTTTTTTTTAAATTTTCACTAGAATGATTTATAGGTATGGTCACAGATTCACAATATCTAAGGTTTAAAAATAAAAAAAATCTTTCTTGAAGTTTTCTTTTTAGCTTTAATTCAAAAGGTAAAGAAATAAATTTACTATATTCAGTAAGTGTGAAATACCTTGACCACATTTGATGATAGTAATTAAGTAAAAACCATATTTACTAGTCATAAATGAAAAAGCTTAGTAGAAAGCTAACACCAATATTTTGAAAAGAATTTTGAATTTTTTTTTGCATATGAATAAATGCCGATTTTTGTAGATATTGGCACCCATATATAACATCAGAATATAAGAGTGATAACTATAGTAAATTTAAAACCAAAATATCTAAAATTCAATAAAATATTAGATCATGTAGAATATTTGCCTAAAAAGTAGCTCATGTTCTATTCAATTATTTTTTTTTTTAGATATATCCACCACATTACATAAACAGCTATCATGTTAAAAAATGCATTTCTGCAATATTTTAAACTTAAATAATATTTATTTCAAAACAAATTAAACTTTAAATCAACTAATATTCCTTAACTAAAGTTTCAGAAAAGTATTTTATTTTTGAAAAATTTTTTAATAAAGAGAATTACATTGATAAACGAGGGCTAAAAATGGTGTTGCCATCTTTTTTTTTTTTTTTTTTTTTGGTCCCCCACTCCCAATTTTTTTGCTATTAAAATAAACCTTAGGTATAGTGTGTTTTCTGTGGGGGGTACCTACATTCAAAGATAAAAAATTTAATGTATGATAAAAATACAAAATGATGCATAATTTCAAAAAAAAAAAAAAAAAAAAAAAAAAAAAAAAAAAAATCAATAACAATTTTTTATTGAAATACAATTAATGACTGTTTCACAATAAACACCATTAGTAAGTTTTGTAAACCACTAATTACCAATGTTTTTGTAATTACAAAAGTAAACAAAATGTCCCTTTTTTCTCTTCACAATTTTTGATTTTCTTTGTTCTAAAAATCAATTGCATTTTATACATGAAAATAAGCACCCCAACCCCAAATTATTTTTCTCAACTCTGTCTTATACTCCCTCATGATCTATAAATAAATGATTATGGTAAATGCTAGTTTATTATAAAAAATAAGCTTAATTTTATAAAGCAGGCAATAGGATTGTCTTTAAGAGAAAAAAAACAAAAAAACTTACCTTTGAAACATTGATGCAATCTCTGAATAGAAATTCTAAGGCATGTTTATGGTTGATTTCAACAGCTTGGCTTACATCTATGACCCACACACTATTGTTGTGCCAAAGTAAATTGTACTCGCTGAAGTCAGCATGGACCAATTGACAGTCGTTGTAAAGTCGACACAGGATCTAAAATAAATACCAAATGTCTTGATGCATAATTTTTTGTTAAATCATTTCACCCACAAAAATGCAAGGGGCTACTGAGTGTGAAAGAATATGTGAAAAAGAAAACATTAGGGAGAGAGAACAATAAAAGAACATGCTTGAAAATTGCATTTAAATTTTTTAAGTTCAAAGTTGGCTGGAAAGCTAGAAGAGAGTTCCACAAGCAAGAAGTGTGAGAAAAGAAACTTAGCATTGAACTTATGGTTACATCTAGCCATTTCAATTTAGAATGAAATCAACTAAAACATTTAGGTTAATTCTCTACAAATCCTGACATTGGCTCTGGATTAGCAACAAGATTTTGGTTTGCACTGAATGTCTTGAGAACAGAATTTATCAGATGTCCTGTAATGACGTGGAGAATGCCAAAGAATAGAATATAGACTGTATATTTTTAATTGAAGAAAATGGAGAAAACCCAAGTTCAAAAATCTTATGTGTGAGAGACTAGACTGAATTCAGGAAATATTTAATGTTTTATACCTCAAGAATCATTTTTATTTTTAAGAAAATGAGTATGATTAATTTCTATATCAAATGTAAAAGATAGTGGTTCGGTCGACTTTACAAGTAGTAATACTTTTTAGCTTTTTTTTTTTTTGGAAGATTGGTAGAAGAGGTTGAACCTTCTCAACAATAACCCCACTTTTTTTTCTTTTTTGGCTGGTTATGGATAAATGGCATCTGACCTGAAGTTATTTCATAAAATTCTTCCATGTGGAAAAAATTAGTGATCACTGATATTAATTAATATTTGCTGAACATTTACAGAGACTAAACAGTGGATGGGGACACAGTCAGGCATTGGAATATGTGTTTTTTAGTAGTAGCATCCATTGTATGCATGACAAAGCATGTTCTGGGTATCCCTGTACAGCTTTCAACCTTTAAATGGAAGGGCATATCAGTAATGTATAGCTGATAGTGGTAACTATAGTTAAAAATAGTGTTTTTGTCACTGAAAACATGCTCTATCCAATGGTAGTATTGTGCTCTTTGTATCTTGTAGAGATGAATAGGAGGTATTACTTTCAGAGCATTCCTTAATAGTTTGAGGCAGAGAGTAGCATTTATATTAGAATTTAAACTGAAAGCAGCAAAGAGAACAATGAAAGTAAAAAAAAAAAAAAAAAAGCTAGAAGGTTATTAAAGAATTCATACTTCAACAGTTTGTTTAAATGCTTGTTCCATGTCATTTGGATTCAAATCTGCTTTACGTAACTGTGGGGCAGCCCGAAATTCATGCCCAATGAAGGACATGACTAACACATGCTTCTTTTGGCAGATGACTGTAGGGCAGGGAATACCATGACGCCTCATTCTGTGGAAAAGAAAAAAAAAATAACTCACAAATTGGAATAATGAAAAGTAAAATAACTTTTTCTTTTTTTTTAGTTATTCACCAACTTTTAGTTTGACACAAGGTCACAATATTTGGATACTCAATGAGGATTGAACACATTGCACTAGTGAATAGGCAGAAAAGCAAACTTATTCACAATTGCCGTGTTAGGAGTTTTCTTTTTATTAAATATAGCTTAAACTGGTACAAGATCACATTATTTGGGCATCTAGTGAAGACCGAATACATTACATAGTAAATTGGCCTGAACAAGCTGAGATTGATACAATTGGTATCAAATATGGATTGTAATCTGGCAGAATAATAAGATAAAGAACAAATCAGAAACATTTATCAATCTAACATGTTGTCAGATTGATAAACGTTTCATATATATATATATATATATATATATATATATTATACAACAATTTGATAATGCATTTCACCATTTAAGGCTTCATTAGACCCCAAAACAAAAGAATGAAATGTGTACATGTGTATGCTTAAACAAATTTATTTTCATGAAACGTTTCCAATTGTCAAAATTTAAAAACTGCCAAGATTTCTATATCCTAATTTTAGATGCTGAAAACTTTGATATAAACAAATAAGATCTAATAAAAAATAAAATATCATCTGATGGTCAGATATAGAGCAGTGAGCTGAGACAAAAACTTTTCAGCAAAACCCCTAGAAATCTGTGCATGTGTGGCTTAATAACCACCACAGGAGCATGTGGTTGTATTATAGCAAGAAATAATATGGTGACATACCAGCCAGAAAATGTTCACTTCTTACAAAGCTCAACTAATATATTTTCACACACACTAGCCAAATTACCTGCGCCTTGCTTTATGCCACACATTTTTTTATAAGAATGATGAATTTCAATATTACTCGATGATCTTGCTGATGAGACCTCTATCTTTCAGATCAAAATTCAGCTGACAAACATGTAGCAGCCTGCAAACTTATTAACCTGTCCCCACAAAATAAACAATTTTATTCTTGTAGATTAAGGGCTCTAAATATTCATATAAATAATTAAGTGTATTTTTTGTTTATTTTTAAAAAAATACATTAAGTTAAAACCAGTTTCCAAAACCAAATATGTGCATAAAAAAAAAAAAAGACTGAAAGAAATCTTAACTTTTACCATTTTTGCAGATTTAAATTTTTTAAATTCAGTAAAGAAACATTTTTATGTAAAATCACAAATCAAATTATTTATAAAAAAGTGATGTAAGAAAGCAACTAACATTATCTCAAAACTAATTTATGTTGAGGATATTTTTGTACAAAATGAGAAATAAATTAAAAGTAATTTCTACAATTTTTTTTGTTCCCCATTTACTCCTGGTCAAGTACACAATTCCAATTTTTCAATACTTTAGGACATAGTTTCAGTGAAATCCTTAAAAAAAGAAACTATTTTGACTATTCACCTATGTAAATTGGCAGCTTCTTTCTTGGTCCATTTCTGGATGATTTTTCGTGGATTCATTTTCTTCAGGTTATCCTGACTAAAACGACTGTCACCAATCACATATATTTTTCTTTCTTTGAAGTCAGTAAGTGTGGTTTTGAAAACTTTGATTGCACATACACTTGGACAAACTTCATTGTTCCTAGTAAAAGAAAATAAAAGCAACTTAAATTAGCAAAAAATCATGGATGTTATATTCTTGCAGACAAAATCATTACATATTGTAATAATTAAAAAATAGACACCCACACCTGTTTAAGAGACTTATTGGATTTAAAATCCTGAAACAGATGCCATTTAAAGAAATATTCATATAAAGAATTTTAACCTGCCAAAGATTACAAATTAAGGAATCATTCCAAATTCTGTCTTGAAGTGTAGACGAGTTTAGGTGAGTTGGTTTATTATAGCACATTCCTTGTGCTATATAGAAGCCATGACCTCACCATAGCAATGAATTTTTTATACTGTGACCGTGCTTGACTGCCTCACTCTTAACTGATTTTCTCCAGGTCTTCTTGAACTGCTCGTCTTCTACCTCGAGGTTTCGTTTACCATGCCTGTATGTCTGATTCACACCTCACTTTCAGACCTTTACGTCCTACTCGATTAGGATTCTGATAAGTTATCTCCCTTTGGTTGCGACTTTTTACAAAACAAAAAAAAAAAAAAAAAAAAAAAGAAGCTAGACCACTGACGTTGAGGATGTTCCGTAGGCATCTATTAACAAAGGCTCTGGAGCTTGTTGGTAATGGTGTTATTCTCTCCCAATGAGTCCATAGAAGAGCATGACTTTCACATTGGTGTTTGATGAAGTTTCTTATCTCAGTGGAGTCCTAGATGTGTCACAAAATATTGAATATGTGTCTTCTTAAAAATTTTTTTCGTTGATTCAGTCTGTGACGTTCTCATTTTCGCCACCATCTCAGTTGACTGCCACAGGATACACAAATCAGAAAATCTTGTTGGCTATTGATCTGCAACCTCCACACCACATCTTCATGCCAGTCTTATCTGCCTCTTCTTTGTTGTTGTTTGTGGGGAAAGAAGTGTAACAATTATTCAACAATAATTTCCTCCACTTATAATAGGGGAAGCATCAGAATTAATCCTCATTTCTGAGAAAGAGGAATGGAGACTTTCTTGTATCAACACAATTAATAAAAAAGTATCAAGAAACTTGATATATATATGGGTTGATAAAAATGAGGCTGGAAAGAAATAAATGATAACCTACCCATCAAGAAGTTGGTTGTTTCGTTTGGTGTGTTTATTGTCTAAATAGTTGTTTAAATTATCACCGGCAGCTGAAGAGAGCACCACAGACTCTTTACCAGTGCTTACAATTCCATGAACATCATCAATAATTCCACTATTAACCATCTGGAATAGTATCAGTTGAGTGTCCATGTCTACAGCTTGGATCTACAAATACAAATTTGTTTTAGTCATGACAAATGTTGAGTATCTTTGTAACTAAAACATCAATTTATTTCTTCAAGTCCCTTTAGGTCATGATTACTTTTTTAGTATTGTAAATTGTGTATCGCCATTATTGTTCTTGGGAAACATAGAAGAATTGTTTCTTCATTGCATTCTCCAGGAATTTGAGTTGGTTGCCAACAAGGCTAGATATCCCAGTCTGCCTTACTATTTAACCTATAATTGGGTGGAGAAAAGATTTATTTCCCAAGAGCATTAATGTGACATGAAGCTAAAAATCTTTGTTCCCAGGGAAACAATGAGATTTGAGATAGGCCTTCAGTTCTGGAGTGAGTTGTAATATGAATTGGCCTTTAGTAAAGAACACCATGTGGAAAAGGTTTTGAATCTAATTGTAACAAAACTGTTTTACATACAATAAATATAAAAGATACAAATCAGTTTCTGAAAATATTAGTCATTCTAGGGCTGATATTTGTAATATCAGATGAAAGTTTTATTTCTTTCCATTACAGATAATATAAATAAATTATTTAAGTTACTCAATACATGACTAAAAAACTCACAGCAGTTGAATGTTCTTTTTTCTCATGGACTTTTTGATGCCTTTTGTTCATAGCATTGCTGTGGACTTTAAGTCTGTTAAAGACATCATTTGGCAATTTAAGGTCCATGCCTTCTCCATCTCCAGAATTATCAGAAAACTAAAGAAAAAAAGAGAGAGAAAAAAAATCATTTGAACATGAAAATGATATTAAAGTAAATAGATTACTTATGTAAATGCATTGATTTATCAAATGTTTTGATTCATTTCTAATTTTAAAACTCATGATAATGAACTTAAATTTAAATATTGACCACCAGAATTTTAAGTCATGAAAAGTAAAAGAAGAAAGAAAATCAATCCAAATGAGTCAGTTTGAATAAGCTTGTAAAACAGGAAGAAAATCCCAAGAAAACAGCCTAGTGGATTAAAGTGTTGGTTTCTAAATTTGGTGACATTCAGGGCAAGCAATAAACGAGGAGTACTAAAGAACAAGATAACCCTAGCCATGGACAGTGGAATGAGAACAATCTACCCCCATAGATTAAATAAAGGGTTAAGTTCAAAATTCTCTGAAGGTTATCTAGATCAATAAGCACCTGATGAAGAGCACAACAGCCAAAACATTGTAACAATAACAAATAAAATGTCAATTGATCAGTTAAATCCAGTTTATAATGGTCAAGTGTAAATAAACAAACAACATTAAAAACAGATGAACAAAATAAAGCAAAATTAATGTAGTTATGAAATAAGAAACTCATTCAATTTTGTTATGAAGAACAATAAAAAATAAAATGAAAAAAAATAAATAAATAAATGAATTTAGACTGACCTCCATTAACTTTGAGGCGTTCCTTCGACCACAAATTGTAGGGTCATGTTTAGTGGTTATATTTTTACCCTTTCCTGAAATGCCACAGCGTCCAAAATCTGGAATCGGATTCTCTATTAAAAATAAATTTATTTTTTTGCAAGAATTGAGGAATAGGAAGGTTTAAATTTTTTTTTATTTTTTTTACTCTAGTCCATAATTAAATGAAGAAATAAAAAAATCCTCATAATTTAAATCGGATTGTCTTATGGCCTATCAATCCAGTTAGGCTATTAATACTGAATATTCATCATAATTTAAGTAGCAAACCAAGTTATTATACCCCATTTAAAGTAACAAAAATGAGATTTGTGGCACTTATTTTGTAAGAGTGGGGTACTGAAAAGTTCTCTGCCCAACCAACTTTACAAAATCTGGCCAAACATCAGTTTTTTTTTTTTGTCTCTTAGCTGATTGATGTTACATTCAGCACCCTGGCACCAGAGTTTCATAGACAAACCTTTTTGTAATTATTCAGTCCACTCATCAGGAGGTATCAGCAATTGTCTGCTGATTTTCTCATTTTTATTATTTTTATATACAAGGACATCTGCAAAAGGAACATGCTGGAGATGCAATTTACACTGAGGGCTGGGGCAAGGAGAGAAGAAACAGAGGCTTGCCACCAGGGAGAAGCATGTATAAAGGAAAAGAAACAACACAGTAAAATTGTGGGAAGAATGTCTTCACTTGCATTCATTGCAGTTGAGACTGTCACTATCATGTGGGCCTGTACAGCCATAAGAAATGCTGTGTTTCCATCAGCAGCTGAAGCATAACTCTTTGGATGCAGATACATAGTCTCTCAAGACTGACAATTGCCACACACATATTAAGTTAAAAAAAAAAAATAATTTATAAAGTTTTTATTGGTATCGATTTTTTTCTCATGTGTATGTGTATGTAGACAACTGTACCATGTCATAGGTACCACCTATTCTATATAATAGGTGGTTCTATTCATTTTAACTGCTTGTTCAGTAGATAGTGTTGCATTTATGAACAGTTATTAACAATTTGTCTGTCATAACCAGAAATCTAGATCAAATTAAATATTTTTTTATTAGTCTTGCCATTTATTAAAAAATATCTTTGAATGGTAAAATCTAAAAACACCTTATTTACTGAAATAATATTATAACTGAAATAATTTCCATGGACAATAAATTCTATTTTTTAAGACTTTTTCACAAATAGAATGAATCTATACCTTTATAATCTTTCTTACAAAAAAAAAAAAAAAAAAAAAAAAACTTACCCCATTCTGTTTTTTGCTCATCATTATCTTCTGTATAATTAAAGTCGTCATCGTATTCTGAAGTGGGGGTTACACGAAACTTTTCAAATGAAATGGAAACTATAAAGATAAAAATGATAATTACATTTGGATCCTGAAATTAATAATTTCCATGTTTTCAATTAGAGGTTGAGGTTTAAGTCAAATGGTTGTTACAAATTTACAGTTAAAAAAAAAAAAAAAAAAAATTTTTTTATAATAACCATGTGAATAAAAGTATTATATAATCAAGTCACAATCTTTAAATCATCAATGCAAATATTTTAGGAGGGTGCAAAAGTTTTTTATTTTATATTTTTTTTTAAATAAGTGAATAAAGTAAAACCATTAAAAAAAAAAAAAAAAGACAAAACATAGAATAAAGTAAAAATCAATTTTTTTTTTTTTTTTTTAAATAAGGTAATAAAATACAAAGGTAAGTAAAAAATTATCTGAACTTTCACCATAACATATCTTTAGACAAAAGTGCAGATAATTTTTGAATTTCCTTCCTAGAATTTTTTTTTTTTTTTTTTTTAAAAAAAGGGAATAAAGTAAAACCTTTTTTTTCTGAGTGTGTATATAAAAAAAAAAAAAAAAAAAAAATGCTGAAATCTTTTGCACACACTTCATAATGATAAGATCTTTTGATAGAGATATTACTATTATCAAGTGTGCAGAAATGTTTTTTTTTCTAATTCTGTGAACATCTGTACAGCAGAGTTTCTTTTTGGGGACAAAGACAAAATTTAAACAATTAACTTAAAGTATACAACACAAGATTGGAATACTCAATAGATTTCAAGTTTGACAATAAAATGGCTTCAGGAGTTAATGTTGGACTGAAATTAAAGATCATATAAAATAATAATAATAATGGTCACCAGAAGAAGTTGAACTTGATTGGAAAATTTATCATAATTGAAATCCATCCTATTTTTTTGAATTTCTTTTTTTTTTTTTTTTACACTTTATATTAAATTTCATTTGTTTGCAATTTTAGTTACACCAAACATAGAAAAGTTATAGAACAGAAATTAAAAAATATATATTTGAATGGAATTATTATCAGACATTATTTCTTATTAGTATAAACGTTGTAATGGGTGCACGTATTCAAGTTGCTATCTGTGCTTTTTTTTTATATATATATATATATATATATATATATATATATATATATATATATTTTATTAAAACACAAAATTAATAACTGATCAAGATTGAAAAAATCCTACTAAAGACAGATTGTGTCTCTGACAAGAATCAAACCCCTTTTCCATTAGGGAAGTCACTTCTATAGCCGCAATATACCTTTAAAAAAAAAAAAAAAAAACAAACGGGAAGCAACTGAAATACATGAACCCACTAAATATAACATTTATAGTAACAAGACACACACACATATATATATATATATATATATATATATATATATATATATATATGTGTGTGTGTGTGTGATAAAAATATAGTTTTAAGGTATGCTATATTTATGGATTAAAGTGCTCAATATCACACACAGAGCATATGTAAATAAATATAAAAGTGGAACATAAAAGTCTGTTTTATGCTTAAACACAATTACCCTGAAGACTGCATTTAAGCATAAAACCGACTGTTGCCTTTGGGTGTTGACATCAATGTCCTATATATATGTATAAATAAAAGAGTTTTGAGTTCATTTTTACCTTTGTTGTTACCATTGTATTTCTTTTCCTCAATCCTAAGTTTGTCATCATCCTCCTTATCAAATTGCTGCTGCAATAAGCGTGCCATTATTTCATCATTAGCTTCTTGGATTTCTTTTTCACTAAGGTTAGTCCAGTCAACTCCTTCAGCAGCAGTTGAAAGTGGAAGGTTAGCTATCAAGTCACTGCCATTGCTGCAAAAAAATGAAAAATATAATTGAGACCCAGACAAGTAGTGATGGGAGATTGGTTTGCAGAGAGATTCACTCATCATGACTTTGTTGCAATATCAGTGACAGGAAAAGATAACTGGTGATGGAACAGACTGCAGAAAGAACAAGAGTCATACATTCTTTCTAAAAGTATTTATGAGAAATGAACACTAATAGTTTCAATTGATAAAAGTGTTGGTCGGAGCCAGTGACTTGACCCAAAGTGTTGCGAGTTCAATACCTGGCTACTGCTGAGGTAAACAAAAACTTGGAGAGTTGAGTTAAAGGGAGATAACTGAGACAGCCGGAAGAGGCATGGCATGTAAAACTAGAACAATACCCCAGTGGATGAAATAAGGAGTTCAGTTCAAAATTCCAATCATCTGATGAAGGCCAGAGCATACAATGGCCAAAATGTCATAAATATCACAACAAATATGAGGACAACAGTCCAAACAATGTAAATAATTAATAGCTTCAGTTGATATTTAAACTGTTTACATATTTTGGTTTCTTATGGACACTATTGCTGCCACTCTTCCTTTAACAAAATAATTTATAGATCAAAATGAGGCAGACATAAGGCAATGATGCTTGTATTAAAGAAGAGTTGATTAGAAATTTAAAATTCATTAATATTGAATGTATATGGATGTGCAGGTAGTGTAGTGGATAGTGGCTCAGAATTAGAAAGGTATAAATCCATCTCTTCATCTTAACTATGAGTTAAATAGCAGTGTAGACTGGGTTTTCTAGATGTGGTTGGCAACCAGTTTAGGTGAATAAAAACTTGAAATTCAAAACCATAACTATTGTTCATAGTCTCCCAACCCCAAGTAATAAGAATACGAAGAAGTAAAGCATATTACATTGAAATTTAAAGTCAACAGCCATATTAAACAACTGATATAACATCAATTTAGTTCTATAAAAAAGACAGGACTAAAATTTTTATTTTTTTTCAAGTACTTAAGGGAGTACTGAAAAGTTCTTGGTCTGACCAAGAAGCCCTTCAACAACAACAAAAGTCTGATGTTTGGTCATTTGTTCAATTTTGGGAAGTATGTTGGGCCGACTATTTGGAATGATGTCCTAGGAACAAAACATTGAAAGCTGTTTTTTTTTTTTACCCTCAATTTATATCATCAATCAAATGGTTAACTGCAAATTCTAAAATCAATGTAGATTTATACAGATTCAATGGAGCAAAGAAACAACAAAAAGCTGTGCCAAGTACAATTCGGCCCCCCCCCCATATGCTGCAGTATTTCATTTCAAAAACATTAAAAATTGTTTTAGAGAATTTGTAATAAATTATTGCATTAGAAGGAGAGATGATGCTGAAATTCAAAATTTGAAAAAAAAAAAAAAAAAAAAAAAAAAAAAAAAAAAAAAAATGAAAAAGTTTCTGTTTTGTCACTTTTATTATTAAATCTCATTGTGATAATAAAAGATCTACCAATAAACATGAAATATTATAAGAACCTGAGTATAAATTTACTGTGGATAATCTAGTGATTAAAGCACTTTCTATACATTTTCATCTTAGTAAATTGTTATCTCTAAAATTAAAGTAGTATTATTTAAAATCAAAATTATGATCAGTCTGATTATTAATTATCAACTAATGCACTGAGTGTGTGGTCATATAATCTTTTATTTAAATTCCTCAAGGTTTCTCCTATGTATTCCTTGTGGCAATCATTACAAGTGATAGAGTAAAAAAAATAAATTCCTTTTTCATGTTTTAGCTTATTATTTTGTTTTGTATTAAGTCTTTTATTGTTTTAGAAGAAGTTGTAACAAATGTTATGCTATGGTTAGATAATTCTTTTCAATTGTTAGTTGTGATAGAATTGGTGAGTAGAACAATATATTTTGATTCAATGGGTTTGTAAGAATGGTTCACTTTTCAATTTTTAAATATTTTACAAGCCTTTTGTTTCATATTGAATATATAAAATATTAGGGTATTGGAGAAGCTTTAAAAAGTATTTTCAATGAAAACTTTTTTCTCCCACTTTGTCATAGATTTTCTAAATTTCTTACTATATCATTTTGCCATAATGCACATATTTTTATCATCCTCTTTTTAGCAAATTTTTGGGGTATATATATATATATATATATATATATTATAATACATACATACATACACACAGACATATGCCTCAAGAAATCTAACAGTTTTAAAATCCATTGGAGTATAATATTTTTAAACTTCTTATTTAATTATTTTTTTTAATAAAAGCTATATTTTATATATTATATTACTAAATTATTTGTAAGTGTTGATAAAATTTACAATTTGTAGAGTTAGTATTTTTAACTTACTTTCACACATGAACAATAATGCTACTAAAAATCGTTAGCGACTGTCATTCCTAAGATATTTAATTTTAAATATCTTTGAATACGTAATTTATAGAAGTTAGTTTTTTTCTTCTGACTAATTTGCCAAAAAAAGTGGGAAGTGGTTTTTAATTTTCCAAGAATTTTTAAAATTAAATAATTTCAATTATAATTATTGTATATAATTAAAGTCATGCTGTCAAGAGATTCGAATAAGTTTTAGAATTAGAAATAATTGACGAACCTGTTCATTTCTCTCATCGTTTCTTCTCTGTTGAGTTCGAGAGCAAGTTGTTCACTCATAACATCAACCAAGGAACAAGGCGGAGGAGAGACCAAATGTCCAGATCCACCACCCCAGGGAGATTTCTTGCCCCATGCAGGCACATTGTTGCTAGATAGATCGGATGATTTTACATTCGTTTGGTAATTCGGGTTGCAGTTGCCTGAAGATTCTGTGTGAGTTTCCACAAAGGTAGACATTTTTTTAAACAACAGCACCAATGACAGGGTAATGACGTGTTTTTTTTCGTCTTCTTTTTCCAATGGTTGTAGAAAAAAAATAAGCTACTTTTGTTTAGAACGAAATAATCAGTTGATACTAAATTAGAAGAATGTGTTTTCTTGAAAAATAAAGACCCCGGGAGAACAACACAAAATTCTTTCAAACAAAACTTTTGTTTTGTTTTGTTGGTGTGAAGCGGAGATACTTAATATTAAAAGAAAATGTCTTGGTTAAAAAACTTAAGAATTAAAGCAAAGTTACTGAACAAAAACTTGCTACTCTTTGAACTAAACTGGGTATTATATAAATAAAATATGACTAATGTTGCCTAATAATTTGAGGAAGTTGTGCAATATTGTCGTTTCTACCCGGGGTCAGGGCAGCTCAAAACAAACGACCTAACTATTTTCAATAGTGAAGAGTTATACAAAGGGAAACAACTGCATTTTCATTAATTATTAATTTTTTTTTAAATTACCAAACTGAATGTGATGGATAAATTGTCTTCTAAATTACGCAAAAATTAAAATAACTCTAACATCTCATTTCAACAAATATATTTGTCAAAACTACACAAAAATAGCTTGAAATACTAAAGAGCAAATTTATTCAATAAAATCGCCAATGGCTTCAACCACAGCTTCCAGACAACTTCAAAATCTCCTGCAACTATTCCTGACAGTCTCTTTGTTTAAGTTGGTGAATGCTGACATAATCCTTGCTTTCAGTTCATCTTTGGCATTACAAGGAGTTTTGTTGTTTTCTTGCTCAACTGTGCCTCACACATAATAATCAAGGGGGTTGCAGTCTGGGTTGTTAGGTGGCCAGATGTAAGGGGTGATGTAGTCGCAGAAATTGTCTGACAGCCATGACAAGGTTCTCATGCATGTGTGTGGCATGGTGCAGAGTCTTGTTGCCAGACATAGGGACATCAGCAGCCACTGTCTTGACTCAGAGCAGCACTTCCTCCTCAAGGCACTTGATGTAGGCCCCTGTGTTGAGTCTTTGGCCTTGTGGGAAGATGAATGGAGGCATAACATCGCCATCACCAGTGAACACTCCAAACACCTTCATAATCACCATTAGACTCATCCAACTGTTTTCAAATGTGTTGCACTGTCCTCAGATTGACATACAAACTCTCTGAATTGTTTGTATTGGAGATTCCGGCATGAATTTCAAACAGTACTGTATATCATATGTACCAAATATAGTGTCAGGTCAATTCACTAAATGTAGCAGGAACACCAAATATATAGGTACTACTACTATTTATATTAATGATTCTTCCACGTACAGGATTCAAGAAATAATAACAACAACTCCAATTTGTTAACCAACAAATATATATTGAATAAAATACAACAACAAGCATGAAATAAAATTGTGTTCACAATGTAGATTAAAGAGAAGGAAGTTATTTCCCTTTGACTGTAGATTGAGTGTAATCAACCATTTGAAGAAAGTTCTCTTGTGAGATAAATGTTCCGAAATAATTGTTAGAGCAAAGTTTGCATGTGAAGAATGAATAACACCAAGAATATAATTGCTTGAAATGTGTTGTGAATAAACTGGTTTGAATCAACAAAGTTCTGGTTGATTGTGCTTGGCGAAAGTTACAGAGAGAAAATGTAAGTTTGTAGTTACGAAATTCTGTGTCTGTGTATGTGTTAGAGTGTGATGAGCAAGATTGTGGATTTGTGTTGATGGCTGGGATCTTACTGGTGACTGGCGAAAAGTCACCCTATTTAAGGATAAACGGTAGGCTCCCACTGAACCGTGGGAAAACTTGATCTTACATTAAAAATATGTGATTGGTTAAAAATTAACCAATCACTACACATGTACTAACCAGAATAGGTAAGTATGCTCAGAACCAAAAGATTCAAAGGAACGACTGCGATGGCTAAATTGTCCTATACAAAGGTAGTAGTAATTTATTAGCCAATCGCAGGTGAATAAAATGACTTGGAGTGTATGTGGATGTGAAAAACATAGCAACCGCTATAACAGCATACTGTTTCCAAGTTTCTGGCAGAGTGAATTGTATCACGGTACACTTTTTCTCACAGATGGTGCACAACTGACCCTACTATACTGTGCAGTTAACAAAACCAAAAATGAACAACACACATGCACAAAATTAAAAATATAAAATGGCTACAATTTGCTCATCGCACACTGTATATATTCCTTCATAGACAAAGACATAGACATATATTCCTTCATAGACAATCTCCTTTTCTTTGTAAACTGTGCATTTTATACTTCTCAAGGACAATCATAGTGATGCACAGTTACAAGAGCTGGGAAAGTATCTGAAGAAACGTCATAATTTACCCTTTGTTAGAGAAGGAGAAATATCTGGAAATACTTCATGTGGGTCAGAAAAAGTCATCAAGGTAAAAATTAATATTTTCATTTAAAATAGGGAACATGTTTAGAAAAATAAGCAAAATAACACTGACATCTCATTTTAACAGATATATTTACCAAAATTACACAAAAATATCTTGAAATACTAAAGAGTAAATCTATTCAATAAAATTGCCACTGGCTTCAACCACAGTCGCCAGATGACTTCAGAATCTCCTGCAACTCTTCTGGATGATCTCCTTGTTTAAGTTGATAAATGCTACCATAATCCTTGCTTTCAGTTCATCTTTGGTGCTATAAGGAGTTTTGTTGGTCTCTCACTCAACTGTGCCCCACACATAATAATCAAAGGGGTTGCAGTCTGGGGAGTAAGGTGGCCAGATATGAGAAGTGATGTGATCTGGTGAAATTGTCTGACAGCTATGATTGGGTTCTTCTGCTTGTGTGATATGGTGCAGAGTCCTGTTGCCAGACACAGGGTTTTTCCAATCCATAGAGAGTCGAATCTACCATGCTACCTAACCTATAGCTATGGCATTAGTATTGTTATCCTCTGCTTCAAATGTGACCTATTTTCAATTCACTCCACATCAAAACCTGTTGGGCAATTGTGACTGCTACAAAAGCAAAATTAAAAATAAAGAAGTTACTCTCTGTCCAGTGTCTCTCAGCATCACATCTGATGACTCACAAAACAAATCTCCAAAAATATAAAATAAAATCTAAATGTCAAAGCTAATCATGAATGTTGCTGCTAAAGTGAAAGCATGTCAAAAAAATGCTGAGTCCATGTATCTATCCTGACTGCTTAAAAGGACCCATTCAGTGACTCTCAAAGCCATACACAGGCAGTTCATGAAGTTCACCAGCGAGCCTCCTAATTGACTGACTTGACATGAGCTTTAATGCAGTCATGTTTGTGAAGAAAAACTTTAAAAATCCATATAAATTAAATTTAGTAAAACAAACAAATTAAATAGACTCAAATTATAGCAGATAACTTAGAATATATTCTTTTAATTAATCAGTTTCAGACAAAATAAAAACATCTTTTTATTGCAAATTATTAATAAAATATGCAGTGGGTACCAACTTAAAATTTATGAAGAAAGATAAAATTACACAGCATTTAAAACATATATCAAATTATTAATTTGCAAAGTTTCAACTTTTAAGCTTGTATAATTATTAAGTTATTATAAATTTTATACTCTTAAGGTAACACATTTTAGAATTGAGCCAAGTATTTTACTGTTAAATATTTGCATGTAATTTGTGTCTACTATAACATCTGCATATGAGATATAAATAAAAGTTAGAAACACATTCTGTTAATAAGTTTCCGAAAAAATAAAGACATACTTTTATTGAAAATTATTCATAAGATACAATATTGTTTTTGAGTGGATACCAACTAAAAATTTAATTAACTTATAATTGATGAACAAAGATAAATATTATGCAGCATTTAAAACATATATTAAATTATTAATCTGCAAACTTCTGCTTTTTAGTATGTATAGTTATATAGTTATTATAAATTTTATACTTTTCAAATAACACATTTAAAAATAGATCCAAGCATTTTTCTGTTAAATATTCACACACATTTTGTGTTTACTATGTCTTCCACGCAATAAAAGGACAACATATCAAGTCAGTCAGAGTCCAAACAGCCTGTGTGATAATACAAGTAGCAGCCAGATGTAACAGTGCAAGGTAAAGTCATTATGAACTCTTCATGTGTCTAGTCTATTCCCTGTCATATGAAAACTGTTTTCATATTAATAAGATATGATATCTTTGCTGAGGGGACAGCAAATTAAAATGAAATTTAATTAATCTATAATTTATAGAGAAAGATAAAAATTACACAACATTTAAAACATATTTCAAATTATTAATCTGCAAAATTTCAGGTTGAAAACATGTACAGTTATTATGTTATGAGAGATTTTATACTCTTCAAGTAACACACTTCAGAATGGAGCTGAACATTTTTCTGTTAAATATTTGCATGTATTTTGTGTCTACTACTACGTTTGTGCACAAAGTATAAATAAAGACCAGTGTATGAAGTAGTAACTTAGAGTAGGAATCTATATGATAGTAAAAGTAGCAAACAGATTTAACAGTATGAGTTGACATAGAAAGAGGGGGCACTAAGAAATCTTCCTGTTGAATATTCTTAAAGGCCAGATTTTCGCCACATGAACCTTTCATAAACTCATTAATTAAAATGTTACTTTAATTACTATCAATTAAATATGACTTTTATTTTATTAAGATATTTTAAATAAATTAAAATGTTATTTACTTTATTAAAAATATTACCCATTTTTAAATAAAATAAAAATATTACTTATTTTTTTTATGGCTAGATTACATCATTTTTCCCTATCTTAACAAAGTATACTTATAACTTCCATGACATTTTTCCAGTCACTGGTGAGCCCACTACCCACAAACTCATAGCTAGGGTATTAGTATGAGGTGAATAAAAACCATTTCAATTGGTATTTAAATTCAGTTTGCTGATTTCATTTCCTGTGCTAATAACAATTAGTTCACCAACACTGTCTGCCTTAGTGATTACTATATA